AACATAGGGATTCAAATCAGAAAGATGATTTCCAAATGTTGGCTCTCCTAGTTGTTCAACATGTGACTCTAAGCAATAATCTCTCTAAGCCTCAGTTTAGTTGCAGGGTTACTGTGAAGACAGTTATGTGGTATCTGGTAACTCAAATGAAAATTATTTTCCTCTTTCTTTAAATTAGCAACTGATTTCTCTTTTTTTAATGGCATTCAATATTCTATCAAACAGCAGGGTATAAGATCTTGTCAATTTTGATGTCTATCCACTGAACAATTAACCTGTCATATATCATGCAGATTACACATTCACAATGTCTCTTTCCCGTTTGCAACCAAGAACTTCCAAATCTCTTAAAGCTTGGAGCCTACTATGGTAATTTTACCTCCATCTCCTCTAACTTACAACACATAATACATAACAGCTACAGGATTTATCCCTCAAGTGTGTCTCTGAGGCTGTCACTCTCCTACTTAAAATTTTTCTGTAACTCTCAAGGCCTTCTGCATTAAAGCCTTAACCAACCCATCCTTCCAACTTTACCTCTGACAGTTTCTAAATTGACAGTTTCCTGAGGCAATGATACTGCCTTATCCCATAACCTTAGCATAGTATGAGACATACAATGAGACCCAACAGTAATATTTGAAAAAAGTACTGAAAATCTGTAATGCTCTTCTCCCCGAAAAAAGACACTGGACTATCTCCACGGGCATAACTCTTCATTTCTTTCTAACACACTTCTAATTATTAGGAAACAATTGTTCTAATCACAACAACCTGAAAACTGGCCAATCACAAAAGAGTCACAAACAACCGCCCTCTGTGATTAAAAGAAGAAGGCATTTAAAAACATTTAAATCTCCCTCTTTATTTTATTTTTTAAATTCTTACTCTTACTACTAACTAGCAGCTGAGCTGACATGGACCAAAGTATTGCAACATAAAAGCTATAAGGAAAAAAAAAGGGCCAAATCCCTATTGTTTAATGTAAAGAACATTAGACAAATGAATTTTTAAAAAATGGTTAAACCTTCTGAGTACCTCTGTTATTTCTCCTAGTTTTTTTTTTTTTTTGGCCTCTTATTCTTCTAGTTAGTGAAAGCCAAATGTCCAAGCCAAATACATAGATACATACAAATATTTCCTATCTGAATAAACTATATAATGTATGATATTGTATATCATCTCTGTAGGAAACCTGTATAAGAAAACTTACTACTGATCATAAACATCACCAGTGAGCATTTCTTAAATATTGACATCTCTTTTCAGGCTCATAGTATCACTGACTCAAAATTCTACTACAAATGCTGGGGGGAAAAAAAAAGACTGCCCCAAATTAATGTGTAAAAATCGATTCACATGTAACCTTTTAGTAACACTACTGTTGTATATAAGCAGACAGACTCCTTAGAGATCTACAGCATAACTGAAAACATACATGGATCTTTAGGTAACCTAACAAAATTAAACTGTAACTGTCATAAAGTCGATCAATGCAATTCTCCAGCTCTTTAAACAAAGGACTAGCAAGTCCAGTATTCAAAATAAAACAGAAGTCTCAATTCATCTTTACCAACTTAATGTACTCACATAAGGTGCTTCCATCAAGCCAACACAACTGCCTTCTTAACAATGAAGGTAAAACTCGTGAATCAAAATAGAGATCCCAGAGCTGTATTTCACTTGGATTATAAAATCTACTTAGTGCAAAATCTTCCATAACTTTATTCTCTTAACTCGTGAAATGGATAGGGGGTTGGAGGGGGGGTACTGCACATGAGTATGAAATATGACTGACAGTATCTCAATTGTAATTTGCCAAATTGCAGAGGTAATGGGTTCACTCTATGGATGACAGAGCCATTACAAAAAAAAAGACATTTTAAATTGTTACAAAACTGGTCCATATGCTCAAAAAATGTGTGCATCCACACCCCAACAAGTTAGACTGCGACCTAAGACATAGAGCTTAAATGCCGAATAAATGTCAATGCTCCGCCTCCCTAAAAAAATTACAACCCCATAAACTGATGAACATCATCAAACAAATACCAGCCACAGTGGATATTTTAAATATCAAATCAGGAAATCATGGTAACTGCTAGCGGTTCCTCTAGGCCTCAGCAGCAGCCTTAGGTATAAGAGCAAACTCGAGCCCTCTTAACACTCAAAGAATAATGTTGATGTCATTACGAGGCTTCTGATTCTTTGCACTCCGGACTAGCCTTTCCTTGATCCACAACGCAATTCCTCCCCCATCCACCACCACCAAAAGAAGAGATCTCAAGACAGAGAAGCCCTCGGGTACCCACTTCTCTTCTACCTCCAGCGGCTGCCTCTTTCTCCTCCCTTCAGCTCCGAGGTGGGGGCTCCAGAAGGTCCCGGGCAATTCCGAGCCCGGGAGGTGCTTGTTTTGCCTGCACACGGTAGCTCCGGCCAGCCGCTTCCTTTCCCAGTTTGCCCGAACTAGAGCGCTACAGGGGACCCAGGGGCCGAGGACGGAGCCCCGGTGGCAACGCCGCCGCTGCCGCCGCCTCTGGTATGTCAGCGGCCGGGATTGTATTTCGAAAGATCCGCCATTTTCACCTCGTCATCACCATCACAGCTCAGCAGCTTCCCCGACAGCCCGAGCCCGGGCCGCCGCCGCCGCCGCCGCCGCCGCCGCCAGAAACCTCCCCCTTCTTCCTCCTCCTCCCCTCCCCGGCCCTCCCCTCTCCAGAGGCGCACACCCACATATCCGGGGAAGCCTCCCGCCCGCCCCGCCAACCTTCAAACGCACAGGGAGATACAAATGCACACAGCCCGCGCCGAGACCCTTCACCCCACCACGAACACGATGCTTCTGCCAGCACTCAGCAACGCAAAAGGAAATCGCGTTACCTGCGAAGTCCCAAGTCCCGCATATTTTTGTTTTGAAAAGCAAAAGCCTTGCGGAAGGTGGCATAAGGACAATAAAGAACTCAAACTCTTTCATTTTCAGAAAAGCAACTTGAGAGAACTTATGGAATGCGTTTTATCCATTACATCCATTTCAGACACTAAAAACATGATCAAGACCTTTGCTTGATGTCATTCAACCACCTTTGACGTATTCCTCCACCGTAGGCACTACTTTGACAATTATTTCCATATGCATGACCGACCTCGCTGAAACCTTTGTAAATTACAGGCACCTATCCTTGTGCTGATACTGTGCTCAAAACATCTAGTTTTAAAAATAAAGGTCTGAACTATTTTCCTTTCCACTGAATTTCATCTGATCATTTCTGTTCATGAACACTGTGACTGCCAACTTGTTACTGGTTTAAGATGTCAAGGAGCAACTAAGGTTTAAAATGTATTGATCATATTCATGAATGAACAATTTCGAAAATACAGAAAATATACCTCTAAATTAAAATTCTTTGCCAAATGTTTTCAGGATCTACGTCACCATATTAAAATAATTCATCTACGGCTGATACATTTGTCCAATACAGAGAAAATAAACACTTTGCTCTAGAACCAAAAGACCCCAGAGTTCTCCTTCCTCCCCATCAGCTCCTCTCATTATGCAGTTTAATAAATAACTAAATGAGAACGAGTATTTCTTAATCACCTAAGAAATAACAAGGAACCATTAGCTGCAAGGCTTCTGACAAAACCAGAATTCTTTTTAAAAAAAAAACTTAAATTGGCTAATTTTCATAATTTCAGAAAAATTTGATAATCACCCATTCAAAAGCTGAATTCTATGCTTACCATTCAACTATAGCATAAGCTCTAAAAGACCTATATGAAATAAGCAAATTGATTTCAAGGTTACGAACAGGGCCGCTCTACTGTCTTTTTCAAAAGTTACTCTAAAAGCAAAGAGGTGGAAGATGAGAAACCCATTACATTTCCTTACCTTGCTTGAATGACAACTCCATATGAAAGTCGGTAGATTCAGGCTTAAACAAGGGCTATCTACCACCTAGCCCAGTCGCCGTTTCTACATGCAGCCTGCTAGACGCTGTAGGTATCAAGTCGTCCCAGTTTCTTCATCTTGAAACTTTATTTCCCCACCTCCAGTCCCGTCCACCCGCGCTCTGCTTGGTGTTTACCGTTGCTTGACCAACCTAAGTCTCGGCCCGCTCCCTTCCCCCGTGCACCTCGGGAATATTGACATTTAGCTGGTGGGCTTCGCGAGGAAAACGGACACGCACGAAGAAGATACGATACAAAGGGGCGTAGAAAGAACGGGGCGGCGGGCAGCAAGAAAAGGAGGGGCTGGTACAAAATGACACAGCAGCAAAACCGGTTCCCAGAAACCCGGGGCCAACACGCCGGCTTCTCCGGCCGCGCAAAGTGCGTGTCAACAGCCGCCGGAGCCCAGCCTCCAGACCGCGGGGAAGGGCGGGCTGCCGGCTGAGAGACGGCCCTGCTGGATGACAGCCGCCCTCCCGGGTGCTGGCGGAAAGGGGCTGAGCCCGGGGGATCCTCCCGCCCGCTGCGGCCCGGGGATGGGGTGCGGCGGCCCCCACACGGCAGGTTCCCGCTCTCCGCCACAACCCACCAGCCGGGGGTCCCGCAGGGGGCGGTCCGGCGCCCTCTGCCCGCGCCACCACCCGCGGCGGGGGCTGGCGCCCCCTTCGCGCCTGCCCGCGCAGATGCCCCCACCCCAGGAGCTGACACTCACTAAAGCCGGCGGCGCCGCCGCCTGCTCCTTACACCGCTCTCCCAGGGCTCCCAGCAGCCGCGGCGGCGGCGGCGCCTCCGAGACACAGACCCGGGTTTGTTCAAAATCACGCGCCCAGCGCCATTCCACCGCCGCATCCCATAATATGCTAGGCCCTCCCCACCCGCGCGCGCCCCTCTCCGCCCGCCCCTCCCCTGCAGCCGCTCCGCCTCCCCGGCCGGCTTCCTTCACCCCGCCCCTTCCGCGGCGCCCGGCCCCTCCCCTTGGCAACCCGAGTCGCGTCATTCCGCAAGGCGCGGGGAGTACGCTCCGGCTCCACGTGACTCGGAGTGGGCGCTCTATCACAGCTTCTGCAGGGAATGTTCCATCGGGCTGAGGCTGGCGGGGGAAGAGCGGATCGTGCCTGCAGTTGGGAAAGACTACCTCATCTTCCAGCTTCCCTTGATAGAAGTCCGTGCTCTAGGTGCGATTTCCAGCATTCCGCCGCTGTTTGATGTGCTTGGGTGGGGGGAGGTGACCAGTATTTCACAAATGCCAGCTTTTCGTTTTTTAAGAACTCGTTTTGCAGGGGTCGCCAAAAGCCCCTGGGACACCACGCAGAATCAAACTTATTTTGAAAAGTACTTTTTGTAATATACACCTAAGCCGGAGCCCGTACAAATAATGAAAATTATTTGTACGTAGTCACCTTTTCCTTCTTTTATTTTCCCTGTGTCCTTTTTATAAAATAAGGAAAAAGACAACCAAATGTGGAGGTGGATTAACAGGCACTAAGAGATTATTATTCAGTTACTGTTCTGTGTGAAAAGAACTACACAGACGAAACAATAGAAAAATACAAAACAGTGTAATGTCAAATGGTGGGGTACAGTCTATAATCGCTAATGGAGCGCGGAGGACAGACAAGTCACTGCGAGAGACTAGCCAGGAACGCAATGGAGGAGGGTGAGACTAAGGTTGCAGTCGAAGCAGCAATCACTTTGGAATCAAGCAGTCGTCGTTTTAACTTCTGGAACCTTCACTTATTAGTGTCTAACAATTTGTCACGTTTCTTTTCCCATATACAAAATGAAAATAACAGAGTTCCAGGATTCTAAGGGCTAAATAAAGTGAGGGGTGTCAAGAAACTACACAGTCCCTGCCCCAAATGTTAGTTCCGTTCTGCCATAATCAACACCAACCAATACCTCAGCACTTGGGATTTGGCAAGGCAAGTGGCATGAAATTAGCAAAAGCGTGGGAAGTGGGAAGGTCTGTGGCCTGTGCAAGGAACGTGAGAAAATTGAATGACATGCAGGCCTGTTGGGGATCAGTGGGTAAGTTCAGTTTATGAGGCGGCTGGAGAGCTAATGTGAGAAAAAGTTCCTCATGGTTAAATGATTCGTGGTGTTACAGGTCACCTCTGGATGGAAGAAGGGTCAGATGCGGTACCCAAACCCGGCTAGATTCTAGGAAAATTATCCCACAAAAGGGAAAAAAAATCCCCAGTTTATTCCATAAAGCTAACGTAACTCTAATACCAAAACCCAAGACAAACAGCACCAAGGAAAGTGGTGTGGGAAAGGAGGGATTCTGTTCTCATTATGACTTTGCGTAGTAAGGTATAAAGTCTAGTAGTATGATAACAAAAACAGTTCATATCTTAACAAAGTACATTTTTTTCCGAGAATTGTGGTTTCATATTTTAAAATCTATTACTGTAATTTATTAAAGGAGAAAAAGCCAAATGATATTTCTCTAGGGATGCATTGTATAACATTCAATGGCCATTTCTTAATTTAAAAAATTTGTGGCAAACTAGAAATAAAAGAATCTTTCTTTAACTGGATCAAGATATCGTCAGAAAGAACAGTAACATCATACATTAGAGTGTAATGGCAGAAGCATTCACATTGAACTCAGGGACCTAACAAAGGATGCAGGGTTATAGCAACTATTATTTAACATTTTTTAGGGTGTCCTAGATAAAAGCAATCAAATAAGGAAAAAGAAAAATGAGTTTTAGATCCTGGAAAAGAGAGACTAAATGACCCTTATTTAAAATAATCATGAAGAGCTTAGTGTTGTGGTTAATTGCTTGGCCTCTGGAGCCAGACTGACTAGGCCCAAATTCAGGCTCTACTACTTAATAGCTGTATGACCTTGGGCAGCCTACCTGCCTCTTCTGTCTCAGTTTTTCATCTGTACATTGGGAATAGTATACACATAATTAGGTTGTTGTGAGGGTTAATCAAGTAATATGTGGAAAGCACTTAGAACAGTGCCTGGCATATGTTAAGCGCTCAATGACTGAAAGCTATTAATAATCGAAACTAGAATAAAGCCAAAAATATAACTTAATCTCTTACTTTTTCAAAGAAGGAATTTTGGCTCCTAAGAGTCACTGCTATTAAAGAACTGTATTTCCAAAGGGAATCTTTGCTTTATATTTGCATGACAGTTTTTCCAGATGAACTAAAATAATTTACTCAGCAAACATTTGTTGATCATCTACTGAATCCCAAGCACTGTGTAAGGCACCAGGAGTAACATGGTGAACAAGACAGAGCAACCCTATCCTGTGTAACTTTCTGCAGTGGTGAAACTGTTTTATATCCACACTATTTAATAGAGTAGCCACCTGTGGCTCTCAGACAACTGAACTGTGGCCAATGTGGCTAAGGAATGGATTTTTTTCATTTTATTTAATTGTCATTAATTTAAATTTAAATAGCCATGTGTGGTTGATGATTACATATTAGCACAGTTCTAGAGGAATTGACAGAAAATAAACAAGTAGAAAACATTAGAGCTCTTCAAATAAAGAAGAGTAGTTTCTGAGGAAAATATTAATACAAAAAATGAACAGATAGTAGTATAGAGGTATGAGTTAGAATTATCAATAGGGAGACGAAACAAAATGTACTAATGGGTACCTATGTCAGGTATATTGCTAGGTGCAAAGTATACACTAGTTAATAAAATTTTCTTAAAAAAATATTTTAGTTTCTAAAAGATGAGTCAGTTTCCTTTGCTCATGAGTCTATTTGTCATAGTCCAGTATGTCTGTATATAAGCAGCCAATGTGTATAAATCTGTTATTATCGTATTTTTCATTAGCATATAACACTTTTTTAAAAAAGATCAATAATCCTTTATCAAAAAATCAAAATCCAAAGTGTTTTGAAAATTTTAAGGTTTCTAGAAGCTTATGACAAACTTATTTAGCAGGAAAACCTGGCCCAATTTGACATAAGGTATTGATACTCTTTATACTAATTTTTATGAATATTTATATGTGTCAGTACAGAAATATGAATGTGTTTGATTATGGCCAAGGGGTTGAAAAATACTTAATGAGATGATGAAGAATTTTTTACTTCGATTGCGGTGGTAGTTACATGAGGTTATACAATGACCTAAACTCACAGGGTATATATAAAAAAATGGATGCATTTTCTAATATGTAAATTATACTTCACTAAAGTAGGCTTTAAAAGAAAAAAGAGAGGGTTTTAAAAATTGTTATGCATATTCTTTTCTAAAATCCAAAATATCATCAACACATTGGTATCAAAGGATTTCTAATAAGAGAATGTAGATCAGTATCACTTTGAGCACACCCTAAATTTTTTCACTTATAAGGTAATAAATAATGTCAAACCACCTGAAAAATTAAAATCAACCACTAAAAGCATCTGTGGGTGCAAATCGAGCAATACATGGAGATGAAAACAAAAACAGAAAAATTAAAATTTTGTGGGATGCTGCAAAAGCAGTTCTAAGAGGGACATACACAGCAATACAGGCCTACCTTAAGAAACAAGAACAATCCCCAAAAAACAGTCTAAATTCATAACAAAAGAAACTAGAAAAAGAAGAACCAATGAAAGCCAAAGTTAGTAGAAGGATGGACATAATAAAGATAAGAGCAGAAATAAATAAAATAGAGAAGAATAAAACAATGGAAAAAAATAAATGAAACCAACATCTGGTTCTTTGAGAAGAAAAACTAAATAGACAAACCCCTAGCCAAACTTATCAAGAAAAAGAGAAGAGAAATAAACAAAATTAGAAAAAAAGGAACAGTTACAACTTACACCATAGAAATACAAAGAATTATTAGACAATTCTATGAAAAATTATATGCCAATAAATGGGACAACCTAGAAGAAACAGAAAAATTCCTAGAACAGTACAGCCTTCCAAGACTGACCCAAGAAGAAGCAGAAAATATGAACAGACCAATTACCAATAATGAAATCGAATTGGTAATAAAAAAATTCCCAACAAACAAAAATCCAAGACCAGATAGCTTCATAGCTGAATTCTATCAAATATTTAAGGAAGAGCTAATGCCCATCCTGCTTAAAGTATTCCAAAAAGTGAAAGAGAAGGGAATACTTCCAAATTCATTCTATGAGGCCAGCATCACTCTAATACCAAGCCCAAAGATGCTGCAAAAAAAGAAAATTATAGACCAATATCCCTGATGAACATAGATGCAAAAGTCCTCAACAAAATATTCACAAACTGAATTTAAAAATACATTAAAAGGATCATCCACCACGACCAAGTGGAATTTATTCCAGGGATGCCAGATTGGTACAATATTCATAAGTCAATCAATGTGACATACCACATTAACAAAAAGGATAAAAATCACATGATCATTTCAATAGATGCTGAAAAAGCATTTGCCAAAATTCAACATCCATTCATGATAAAAATACTCAACAAAATGTGTATACAGGGTATGTACCTCAACAAAATAAAGGCTATATACAACAAACGCACAAACCCACAGCTAACATCATACTCAAAGGTGAAAAGCTGAAATCTTTTCTTCTCAGATCAGGCACAAGACAAGGATGTTCACTCTTACCACTTTGATTCAACAGAGTACTGGAAGTGCTAGCCACAGCAATCAGACAAGATAAAGACATAAAAGATATCTAAATTGGTAAAGAAGAAAAAAACTGTAGATGACATGATACTATAATGGAAAACCCTAAAGACTCCACCAAAAAACTTAGAACTAATAAGATTCAACAAAGTTGCAGGATACAGAATTATTACACAGAAATCTGTTGTATTCCTATATACTAATAATGAACTAGCAGAAAGAGAAATCAGGAAAACAATTCTACTTACAATTGCATCAAAAAAATAAAATACCTAGGAATAAATCTAACGAAAGACCTGTGCTCTGAAAACTATTAGACACTGATGAGAGAAATTAAAGAAGATACAAATAAATTTAAATCTGTCCCATGCTCATGGATAGGAAGAATTAATATTATCAAAATGGCCATCCTTCCCAAAGCAATTTTAAGATTCAATGCATTATTCAAGTAACTAGAGCAAATAATCCTAAAATCCATATGTAACCACAAAAGACCATGAATAGCTAATGCAATCCTGAGAAAGAATAACAAAGCTGGGGTATTACACTCCCTGACTTAAAGCTATACTACAAAGCTACAGTAATCAAAACAAGTACAAGTATTTTACTTGAACAAGAAAAGACCCATAGATAAATGCACAGAATAGAGAGCCCTGATATAAACCCATGTATATATGGTTAATTAATATATGATAAAGGAAACATGAATTTACAATGGAGAACAGACCATCTCATCAATAACTAGTGTTGGGAAAACTGGAAAACTACATGCAAGAGAATGAAACTGGATTACTGTCTAACTCCATACACAAAAGTAAACTCAAAATAGATCAAAGACCTGAATATAAGTCATGAAGTCATAAAACTCTTAGAAGAAAACAGACAAAAATCTCTTGAAGATAAGTATGAGCAATTTTTTCCTGGACATATCTCCTTGTGCAAGGGATACAAAATAAAAAATGAACAAGTGGAAATACATCAAACTAAAAAGCTTCTGTACAGCAAAGGATACCATCAGCAGAACAAAAAGGCAACATGCGGTATAGGGGAAATACATTTGTAAACAATTTATCTGATAAGGGGTTAACATCCAAAATATATAAAGAATGCATACACCTGAATGCCAAAAAAACAAAAAAAACTGATTAAAAAAATGGGTGGAGGACCTGAACTGACATTTCACCAATGAAGAAATACAGATGGCCAACAGGTACATGAAAAGATGCTCCACATCGCTAATCATCAGGGACATGTAAATCAAAACCACAGTGAGAATATCACCTCATACCAGTCAGAATGACCACTATCCAAAAGACCAGAAATAACAAGTGCTGGCCAGGATGTGGAGAAAGGGGAACTCTCTTACACCATCTGTGGGAATGCAAATTGGTGCAGCCACTATGGAAAGCAGTAAGGAGATTTCCTAAAAAAACCTAAAATTAGAAATGCCATATAACCCAGTAGTTCCACTTCTAATTAACTGAAGAAAACAAAATCCCTGACTGGAAAAGATTCATGCACCCCTATGTTTATTGCCACATTATTTACAATAGCCATGATATGGAAGCAACCTAAGTATCCATCTATTATTTCAATAGATGATGGATAAAAAAAGAGGTGGTATACATACACAATGGAATATTATTCAGTCAAAAAAAAGAAAGACACCTTGCCATTTGCAACAATATGGATGGATCTAGAGAGCATTATGCTCAGTGAAATAAGCCAAGCAGAAAAAGACAAATACCACAGGATTTCACTTACATGTGAAATCTAAAAACAAAACAAAACAGCAGGAGACTCATGGAAACTGAGAAGTGACTGGTGGTTACCAAGGGGGAGGAAATGGGATGGGTGGGTGGGGAAGGTGAGGGAGATAATGGGCCACAAAAATTCTCAATGATAATCTAAGTTAGTCACAGGGATGGTAGTACAGCATGGAGAATATGGCCAATGATTCTGTTACATCTTCCTATGTTGACAGATAGTAACTGCACTAGTGGGGTGAGGATTTAATAATATGAGTAACTGTTGAACCACTGTGTTGTATACTTGAAACTAATATAAGATTATTTACCAACTATATACTTCAATAAAAAATAAAAGCATCTGTTGGTGGCAGCCTGAGTTCATATACTTTTTTCTGGTGACAATAAGATTTCTTTGCTTTTATAATAGCTGTTTTTTTCTAATTAAAAGGATAAAAGTAGAGGCTCCTCTGTAATGTTCTGATGCATAGCAGTCCCCCTGTCTGTGGTTTCAGTTATCTCTGGTCGGGAAGCAGGTGATGTTCCTTCTGGTTGTAGGGTCAGGTCAGTAGTAGCCTTACTATGCTATGTAGCTATGTTTATCATCATGTTTACATCATTCACTTCATCTCAGCACACTGGCATTTTGTTATCTCACATCATCATAGGAAGAAGAAAGGTGAGTTCACTACAGTAAGATATTTTGAGAGAAATAGACTATATTCACTTAATTTTTTATTAAGGTATATTGTTATTATTGCTCTATTTCATTATTAGTTGTTGTTATTAATCTCTTACTGTGCCTAATTTATAAACTGCACTTTATCATAGGTATGTAGGTATAGGAAAAAACATAGGATTTGGTACTATCTGCAATTTCATGCATCCACTAGGTATCCTGGAATGTTCCCCTGTGGATAAGGAGGGACTACAGTAAGTACTTGCTCTGCTAGGGGTGTAACCATCCTGTCATCAAAGGTTGAGTTTCTCCTGAAGGAAGTGAATACCACCAGTGCCAGTCATCCTAAGAAAAGTCAAATCTTGAGACAAAATATGAAAACTTGAAAGAAGGGCTCACACTGAGAGAGGAAAGTGCTTCCTCTCTCTTGGCTTTGCTCATTTGGACCTGGACCCAAAGAGTTAAATGTAAAGAATGGGCCCAACTTTCCAACTAAGAGAGGAATAAGACTTCTGCCTAAAGAGACTAGAAACTAGGTAGTTTTTGTAAGTAGTATTATTATTTCAAAATATCTTCTCTGGAGAAGAGTCTATGAGTAGATGGGAACTACCCTTATGATTGACTCCCATAGGGTTCTACAAGCATGCCAGTCCACACTCGGTCTTAAGTAATTTATTTAAACATGTAACAGAATTATTCATTGCTGTTTGTATGGCTGCCCCATATTCTTTCTCATGTTCTTCTTCAGATGACCCAGAGCTTGCATCTCACCTGTGTTTAGAAGCACCCATCTTTCCTTGGATTTCAGGCTGGCCAGCTGCCGTGTGACCTCAGCTTGCTGACTGGCTGAACACAAGTTGTGATTGTGTAGATTACCCACCTAGCTTATTAAGGTGATGGTGGAAGCAGTGCTCTTTTTAGCTTTCTAGAAAGCTTTCAGAGCAGAAGCTGGAAGTCATCCAAGTGTTATTTTATTAAGAGAGTGTGATTATCTCCTTTGTTGGACCATGGTTTTTACCGAGAGAGCCTTTCTACTTATTCTCTCAACCTACCTCTTCCTACTTGTCTCCCCAGGATTCAGAGCTCTGCTTTGCAACTGAGTTTCATTACCTGTTTATGGTTGTCCCGACAGTTGGCAGCAGATTGGGACCATCTTGTCCACCTTACTGACATTAGTTCCTACTCACATTTGGATTGGTATGCTCCTTCATTTCAGTGCCAGCTCTAGAGAGAGGAGGTTTAGATGGAAACAACATCACATTCAATGAAGCTGGGATTTTCCAGGTCTCCTGTTTACCCAGGTGTGTTTTTCACTCAATTAACAAATATTTTTTGATTGCTTACTAAGTACAAGGCAAACAGTTCTTGGCACCAGGTAGTTTACAAAAATGAATCAGGCTATCACATCTCTCTCATCCTTCTGTTCCACTTCCAGTGTAACTACAGGATCACAGTTGAAACATGAATATTTGGGAACCAGCACACAGACACTTGAAGGGCACGAATGAAGCCTCAGCAGGCACAGTGGGCACTTGATGGCATGAAAGAAGCCTCAAGTTACAGTGAGTATAGAGATGGAGAGAAAGGGAAAAGGATCAGCATGCACTGGACAATGGAGAGAGTATATCCTGGAAAGACCCATGGACCTCCAAGTGGAAGGATAGTATGTGCACTGGCATTGTTCTTAAGAGGACCTGCTGGTTATCCTGACACAGAGGAGATTTGGGGAAACAACAGTTGTGCTGATACTTCTCCGCTGAGGCTGGAAGAGCGCTAGCTCTTGAAACTGCTGGAGAAGACAGAAGACAACGTGAATAATAAATAAATAAGTACATAAATAAAGCTCTTAAGAAGACTAGATGCAATACACATAAATGCACAAGACTATGAAACAAAAAAGCATGATTTTGCTCCCTTTTTAAATTGAGGCTTTGTGTTCAGTGAAATGCACAAATTTTAAGTTCACAGTTTGATGAGCTCTGATTAATCCATTTACCCATGTAAACCACACACCCAGCTCTATATAGAACATTTCCAATACCTTGTGCTACTTCCTGTAAATTCCCACTCTTACCTATTTCCCCCTCCCCAGGAAATTTCTTATCTTCTATTACCATTAGATTAGTTTTGTTTGATTCAGAACTTCATGTACCCAAAACCTCATTATGCGTACTTTTTGATGTTTGACTTTTTTCACTCAGTGTAATGTTTTAGAGATTCATTCATGTTGTTGCATGTGTCTGTAAGTTTTTCTTTTTTTAATGCTGAGTAGTATTCTATTGAGTGAGTATACCACACATTTTTATTCACTTTCTTGATGATGGACATGTGAGTTGTTTTCACTTGGGGCTATGATCAATAAAGCATCTATAACATTTTTACACAAACATATGAAAACCATTATTTTTAAAACACAACACTGAAGGTACACTGAAGGAGAATGATTGAATCTTGCTAATTGTTCTGAAAAGTGGAAAAAATATCTCAAAACAGAGCAAAATATATAAAGGGAGAAATTGTGATCTTTCTGAAATCCAAGGAAATATTACAGACAGGTAAAGAAAAAAAAAGTGGTGAAAAAGTCAAGTCACTTTGAAGATAAAGAGAACTGATATATTACTATTTGGAGTTCTAGAGGAAAAGAAAAGAACAAATAAAAGAGGTAATAATTAAGCAAGTAATAATAGAAAATTACCCTGGCCTAAAGACAGACTTGGCATTTGCAGGTGAAAGGGTTCACTGAGTTACAGGAAAGATCAATGAGAAAAGACATATCTAGGCAGATCCAAGGAAAGTTCCTTTAAAGAGAAAATCTTAAAAACTTTCAGGTGGAAAAAACAGCTTACAAAAAGAAGAACAAGGAGGACAGGGTAGGGGGAAGAGAGGAGAAGAAAGAGGAGAGAGAAGAAGGAAGAGGGGAAAGATGAAGAATTGGAAGAAAAAGGTGCAGAAATAAACAGACCAGCCAGCTAAATGAGAACAAGCAAAGGCTATCCAGAGATTCTACAGAAAGGGAGTTGGCCACCATCACCTGTGTCTGGCAGTGACTCAAAGGCAGGTAGAGGAATGGCAATGCTTTATAGTGGGAAATTCAGGTATGCCTTGATTGGAGGCTGTTGGCATGGGGAAGATGTCAGCAGGCTAACTAGAAATGGGGTATCCTATGTGATTGGTTTTGAGAGCTTGTTTAGCTTTCTCTTGTTGGTGCTAAGTTAGAAGTGGGGGAAAAATTAGGGAGCTGTCAGTTGATCAAGTGCTGGCTATTTGGGGCTGATTGCTACAGGAGTTGTTTGGCATCCTGGGATGGTTGCAGCAGATAGTGGTTAGAGTTTTATTTTTATATATGTTCTTGGCTTTGTTTGCATATTTAGTCTCTCAAAGAGAATAAAGAAAAGGAGAGAAGAAAAAGGAGGAGAATAGAGGAGAGCGGGAGGGAGGGAGGGAAGGAGGAAGGAAAGAAAGAAGGAAAGGCGGGAGGGAGGGAGAATGGAAAGCAGGGAGGGATGTAGAGAGAGACCACTGACATGAATTTCTAATTTGAAATCCTGGCATGGAATCTAATTTGAAATGTGAAATAACATTTATAGGTCACTGAGGAAAAATGACAGCAGCTCAACCAAAATCCCATTCAACTGTCAGGACTATAGAGAGACATTTGTGAATATGCACAGATTCACAAATATGTTACTCATGCACAGCATCTGAGGGATCACTTAAGAGCGAATGCTACCAAACAATCAGATAATCAGAACAGAGACCTCAGATCAAGGCATGGAAGATGAAGAAAAGGGGAATTTGTGGTGAGTAATTTACTTTGAATTTATATAGTAATGTCAGTGAATAATGACATTATAACTGGGAATTATAATAGCACAAGTGGTAAATTAAGGACTCCTAAAATAGAAGAGACATACTGCAAATGAAAACCAAATAGTTGCTGAAATGGAAAAAAGTATCAGCCTATTTTAGTGAAACCTAGGAATTGGGTGGGGCTGGAAGGGGCAGAAATATATTCTCACGGTCTCAACTAGTGGTGAAGGCTGTGGAAGTGAAAATATTTTAAGAGTCTTATCTATTGAGGTGTAATAAAGAGGCAATGGAGGACTAATTTGTCTAGAAGGAAGGAAATAGCTGAAAACTTGTTCTCATATTATTAAGGAAAAACTAATAGTGAATGTCAGAAAAGGAGGGTAATCGTTAAACTGAAGATGAAATCCTTTTTAATTTTTTTCCTATTTAATTTTTTTCTTTTTTTATTGGAATAAAGTTGATATACAATATTTTATTGGCTTCAGATATATAATGTAGTGACTCAGTAATCATACACATTACTAGATGCTTATATATATACATATTATGTTATATACATAAGAGGGGGGAAGTACAGTTCTCCCATTACTATACCAATATATTACAATATTATTGGTTATATTTCTTATATTGTATTTCCATTCCTATGACTAACTTACTTTACAACTTGTGGTTTACTTTTTTTTAAAGCCCTAAAACACTTTCCACCCAGTTAAACTGAAAAGAAAACAATACTGAACATGATAGGACAACATAAAAAGAATAATTAGAAACACCCAGAACGAGAGGCAGAACTCAGGAAAGAATTATAAATAAAAATATCATTTTAGAAATAAAGATTAAGTGAGAAGGAAACCAGGGTAAAAAAAAAAAAAGATAATGCCTTAAGAGAAATAGAATGAAAAGGACATTTTTTCCCACTCTCCCCCCAACCACCCCTTTTTAAAGAAGGAAACTTCTAAAAATTAAAAAAACATGAAAAAAGAAATAAAAAAATTTTGAGGAAAGTTGACTAATATTACAGACAGGTCAAGAAGATCTATCATAAAGATAATAGTCTTTTCGTACAAAAAATTATAATTAAGGGTAATGTTATTGAAAGAAAAATGAAACTACATTTCGAAAGAGCACACTGTATACCTGAGAATACGAACCCAGTATGACCAGCACCAACATATAGTCTAGTAAAATTATTCTATGTTAGAAGGAAAAAAACTAAGGAGGCTTTTAGGCAAAAAGAGTGGGTGACTTATAAGGGCAAGAGAATTAGATTCTAATAGATATTTTTCAGTAATGCTTTATGCCACAAGAAAAGGGAGTACCACACTTAAGATTCTCAAGAAGAGTCAAGGTTTATTATTTCTAACACAACCCATATTCATGCATAAAAAGCATAAGATGTTTCCAAAATGCAAGAACACACAAGATTATAGTTTCCACAAACCCATTCTGAGCTACCTGTTAAACAACTAGCTTCAGACAATTAAAATGACTAGAGAGGTTTCAATATAAGAGCTGATGGTGAGCATTAAATATATATTACTTATAAAACTAAGACTAAATGAGGACTAAGAGGAAGAAAGTATAGTTTGCAATGGCTATATGTACTCACAATGTAGATACAGTACAATTATTAAAAATGAGAGGAAATGGGGAGTGCAACAGCAGAAAAATATTGAATTCTTTTTAGCAATCATATTGGGGGTGGTAAGTATTAGTATTGTTATTCTGAGGCTGTTGTGTATATAATGTGGGATGAATGAACTGAGTAATTTTGGAATATTCTGATTCTATAATCTATGAACTTGTGAATCAGGATTCTGGATGTGGAAGTAAGTAGATACAGGTAGAATACAGAAGAGGTTAAATAAAATCACCTAATTGGAATCAGAATTATTAGTATGAATCCATTAGTATGAATATATTTCCTAGTTCTGTCCTATGAAAAGGTCCCCAAATGACCAATACTGTAGCCATGAGCACTGCTAGCACACATACTGTAATCTGTGAATATCATTCCTAAAATCAACTAAAGGAACAAAGACTTCTTGGTGAAAGAGTTGATTCCAGGTCTTAGGTGGGAACCCCACAAGATGATTCTAGAACAATTTTGTCATGCAGCACCAGCAACATGTGAAATAAATGTAAAGATTGGTGTTCTGAAAACAGCAGAATATATACAATCACCTGTGCTCTTTTTTCCTTCTATAATGAGGCATATTTGAGCAGTGCACATGGGAGATGCTCCAGAAAAAGGCTCCCAGGATGACTTTCTTTGCATTTGTATAGAGAAACTGTGAAGGGATAGAGACCATCTAGTTGCATTTGTAAAAATGGAGTTTCCTGGCCAGGGAAATGGCCGTATTAGACAAGAGTTTAGTGAGAAGAGTCCATATACCAGTGGTGTTGACATTGTAGAGCAGTGCTACTTAAACTTTAATGTGCAAGAATTACTAGAGAGATTTTAACATGACAATTTTGATTCAGTAGGTTGTGATTGGGACCCACGGTTTTGCATAGTAAAAAAAACTAGGATTTGTTAATTCAGATGTGCCTATCTAACTTCTTGCTAAGCAGCTGAAAAGTGAGAATAAGCTTTCAGTACCATGTAGGTTTGTTTTTCCTAATTGCTAAAGTAAAACCTAAAAATATGTAGTATTTTCTTACAGGCTGGGCAGTGATAATGAGCAGTCCAGAAAGGGGGGGCCTTGCCATGCCAAAAACTTCATAAAATTGCTGCCTGCAATAATGTGAAGGCAGTCTTCCTCTCTAGCTTGTAGCTCTAGTGGCGGTATCTAGAAAGAGCAAGTCTGTGTGTGTTTCTGCTTCTTTTTGCTTTCAGCAAGGTATTACAAGCAGTTTGAAGTCAGGGTAAAAAGAGAAATAAAGGTCCAGAAATTCTGGGGCTTTGCTAAGTAGAAAAAGCCAACTGCTTAACTGCTTAGATACCCCTAAATAGCAGAAGAGAAGACTTGGCTTAGTGATTTCTCATAAACCATTAAGATTTTTTGGAAAACACAAATAAACAAAATACAGAAAACAAAGATAAGCTGAAGCAAAAATCAAATTAATTGAGTTCTCTTCTCACTTAAGACCGTTGGTCAGGTGATTTCAAGTCTGTCGTCATTAAAAAAGATGTTAACGGTTGAGTGCGGGAGCCATGAAATAGGGTAGGTTTAACAACTGCTCCTAGACACAACTTTTGTTGTGTCTGTTGACACTTCAAACTGTTTGGAAGCAGAGTTTACTGAATATTCAGTGACATTATATTAAAAAAAAAAAACAAATGCCCCAAACACTGAAAAAACCTGGTCTACAAAATCCCTCAATTAGAGCCCCAAGGAAAGAGAGAATACTCTCCATTATCCAGTTAATTTATAATTCAGAGGGCAGAGCTTGGGCCTGCAGAATGCAATGCACAGTGGAGATCCTCTCAAGAGCATCTAACCAAGGAATTTACTCCACTGTTAGGGTAGTGGGTGTTCATAATTCCTGCCCAGGATTTCACCATTGCTATGGACAAGTAAATGTGTATTTCCCATTCTTACCTTTTCTGAGCTTTAACTGTGTTTATACTTTTCCTGCTCCCCTTTTGTTTTGTATGACATGTATGGGCATAAGCAGATAATTTGTTTTATAGTATATATGCTTCTGGACCA